TTTTTTTTTTTCAATACATTATGGGATTTTAGCTGACTGAGAATGTGTTCTCGGAAATGCGGGATTACTGTGGCGAATTGCGAACGGTCAATTTGCTGGGATGCTTTATCGTCGATGAAACAGTAGCCGATCTGGCAGCTGGATGTCTCCAGCTTGAATACCTTTGTTTGTCCAGATGCACACAGATCACCGACAGAGCGCTTATTTCACTTGCCAATGGCTGCCACAGGTTAAAGTAAGTCACCAGCTCTCTAGTTCCTCCGAAAAACCTTCGTTATGCAGGATGAGTTCAACTTTTTGCTTTGAAATGAATTTTACTTTGGGTTTGACTTAACCTTGGCTCTTTTAAAATGAACCTAGTGCCCTATGTCTGTCCAGTTTTTTTTCTGAAATTTTCGTCTGAGTGCTTTTCCGCAGGGTTTAAATTTGCTGGTTTCACAGCTTCTCAAGCAATTACAGAAATCACGGCTGGAATCAGCTGAGAATTTGTGATTAACGTTGGACGAACAGTATTTTTCATTCCACGATTTTAATCTGGAATGTGGGTGACTGTGACGTTTTCAGGGATCTCGAATTAGCCGGTTGTGCTCTTCTGACGGATCAGGGTTTCGGTGCATTAGCAAAAAATTGCCATGAAATGGAAAGATTGGATCTTGAAGATTGCTCGTTGTTAACAGATGTTACACTGGATAATTTCAGCAAAGGGTGCCCGTGTCTTCTAAATCTGGTGAGTTAATTTACAACAATTGAGATCGATAGCTGCTTTGAACTTCAAAGCGCTTAATTTTTCAATCACGTAATTTACGAACACTACATTCACTTTCTGTTGTGGAAATGTATTTCGTTTATTGTCATGAATACCGAGATTGCTCAGTCAGTCGTTTTAATAGTGCTGCTAGAGTTGCTCCCACATGCCGGACGCAGTTGTGTGGGACTCTTAGATCTTGAGCGACAAGTCTGTTTTTATGCGTTTTTGCTGTGCAGCGCTATGGCGCTGCAAGTGACAAAATGCACTCGCTTCCGAGCACACACACACAGACAACCTCTCGACAGTATGCGTTTTTGCTGGCTGTAGCAGCGCTATAACGCACACACAGCCGAACACAAACACACACACACACAGCCTCTCGACAGTATGCGTTTTTGTTCAGCGCTACAGCGTTACAGCGCTGCTACAGCCAAATTAAACGCATATTGTCGAGAGGCTGTGTGTGTGTGTGTTCGGAAGCGAGTGCATTTTGTCACCCACTT